AATGTTAAGATATTTTTAAGTGAATGTGTATCGGTGCATCATGTGCACCATAAAAACCTGAGAGATCATATTTCATGCACAGCATTCATACGCAGCTAAGAATATGTGATATATGCAAAAAATAAAAAATAAAATAAAAACAAAGGAGTAATTTGTAAACCTAATTTGCAAAGTGGCATGCATCACAATATTATGGATAACGTACTCATAAATCATCTACTTCCATATCAATCAGATTAACACTGATCTAAAATTGGCACTGGTTTATTAACAGCATGTCACTACAGACTCGATATCTGTGCCTTAATAAAACTAAACTACTTCAGTATTCATATGCTGAGTGATTTCAGCATCTGTCAGGTTTTAGCACTTGTGGTTGTGAATTATCAGCCTAATGCATTAAATATTAATATGCTGTTAAAATAGTAAACAGGCATGCATGTTGATGGCGACGTGTCTACATTTGCTGCTGATTTCTAGTTTTATAAACATAATAAGGCAGAATTAAAGAAAAAAAATATTATCTGAAATATAAAACCTCCTCCATGACACTTTATGGATGTACATATACATATATTGACATATATTGCAGCTGCTGGACAAGATCCTGTACTCATTCATTCATTCATTCATTTTCTTGTCGGCTTAGTCCCTTTATTAATCCGGGGTTGCCACAGCGGAATGAACCACCAACTTATCCAGCAAGTTTTTACGCAGCGGATGCCCTTCCAGCAGCAACCCATCTCTGGGAAACATCCACACACACTCATCCACTACGGACAATTTAGCCTACCCAATTCACCTGTACCGCATGTCTCTGGACTGTGGGGGAAACTGGAGCACCCAGAGGAAACCACGCGAAGGCAGGGAGAACATGCAAACTCCACACAGAAACGCCAACTGAGTCGAGGTTCGAACTAGCGACCTTCTTGCTGTGAGGCAACAGCACTACCTACTGCGCCACTGCCTCGCCAAGATCATGTACTGTTGAGGCTTTTTGGGCAAGAATATAGTTGTTTAAATTGTAATCACACAGTTTATTTATAAGGATAGAATTTATAATAAGGATAGTAAATATTTATCATTTCTGAGATTCAGCGCATCTGCCTGCTATACTGAGCAAAGACAATTGAGGCTCTGCCACAAGATGTCGACAGAGACCGCATAACAAGCCCTTGGGGGAGAAAAACTTAAATAAATTTCTCATTACAGCTGATCAAATCATTATTAAACAGGTAAGTGACTGTCTAAGTGGATCTCTCTCTTGTGTATGTTGTACCGCTGTATTTATACCATAGTAATCTGCTAGTGTTGGCTTTGCTTTGGCTTTTTCGGGGTTAATTATTGTGATCTCTCAATTGCAACAGAGAAACACTGGGAAATCTCTGTAGACTGATGGCATTTCATGCTGTTCAGCCTTATAATCTTAAAATGTGAACAAAATCAGCTGTTTTGTCTTCACTTTAGACATTACGCTAGAGAATCACTCAAACACTATTTTTTTTTAAATATACATGATTATGCCGTCAAACTGGTGTATAAACACAATATCACACGAGTAGCAGTGAGATTTGGCTGTATATCGTCACTGGTGACACACAAAGCCAACGCACGCCCACCAGTGCTGATATACAGCCATATTGCACTGCTACTCGTGTGATATTGCTCATATATATATATATATGTATATATATACATACATATATATATATATATATATATATATAAATAAATAAATGTAAACTTTCATAGTTATACCTTTTTATTTTCATTTTAGATTTAGTTAGTTTGTTCTGTTCTTGCCATTTGTATTAATTTAAATTGTATTAATTTATACTTAGTTATTTTTAATTTAGTACTTAAACTAAAAAACTATGAAAAATGCAAGCAATGCCAAAATAAAACTAAATGTGTGTCTTTTAAAATGTTTGAGTAATGTTTTAAAATGTTCTTCTCTTATATCTGCATATTTTTACTTTCCATTTTTTAGTGTGGTTATAATCATTGCAGGTTTATTTAATCCACTTGTATTTCAGTTTGTTATTTTAGTACTAAACAATATTGAAAAATGAAAAGTGAGCCGAAATCAAACTACAGTGTCTTTTTTAACTCTCTGCTTTTCTTAAATCTGCATATTTTTACTTTTCAATTTTAATTCAAGTTTTTTTTATTCTTTATTACAGCTATTTTGTTGTCTTATTGCCGTTTTTATGTTTATTTTAGCTTTGCTTAATTTAGTTGTTCTACTTGAAACAAAAGTGAAAAATAAAAAGCAAGCCAAGATCAAATATTTAAATTATACACACACACACACACACACACACACACACACACACGCACACACACACACACACAGTTGAAGTCAGAATTATTTGAATTTTTTTTCTTTCTTAAATATTTCTCAAATGATGTTGTACAGATTCAGGAAATTTGCACAGTATGTCTGATAATATTTTTTCTTCTGGAGAAAGTCTTATTTGCTTTATTTAGGCTAGAATAA